AAAGAATCTGTATCATTCAGTTTCTTTGACAAGCTTCAGTTAGACAGGTTCCATTCAGAATCGTAGAAGCTTATGTGTGGTTCGATGGCAGCACGATGTTAAATGCGCAAATATCAATGTCTGATACCTTTCTATCTTCCCCGCTCCTTTCACCCAAGTCAACAGTTGGGTTGGGCAAGTTTTGTGGATCTATGCGACCGTTTTTCCTGAACTTACTCCTGTCCTTCCGATCCTCAAGCAAGTATCGTTGAGCCTTTCTACAAGTCTTCCACCGGAGTCAACCATAGGTGGCGTACTCCCCAACAGCGGGGTGGAGTCATATTTGGTCTTTTTCGAGTCAGGGGAGTCACATTCCGGTTATTGTGTGCTGGTGATGGTGTCGAGAGGGAGCCGTATTTAAGATTTTCAGAGAGGGTCGTGGAGGTCGAAGTTAGGGATCGTACTGGAGGATAGAGCTAAAGCGTGCTGCAAAAAAGGGCCAGGAATTCTTTGGAGGGATTTTCGGCGAATTTGGCATGAGGATACCCCTCTAAGACTGACTGCAACGTGTCGAGATCCCCTTCAAGAGGGGAACGGTAGAGTAATTTTGGGAATTGGAACAACGGATAATGACCCTGACCCCTTTGTGGCCCTGTGTCAAAAATTATCATATTATCTGAAAGGCAGGGTATATGTATATATATTTTGTATTATATATATAACGACTATAATACTACATATTTATTTTTTATTTAATTATTTAATTAATATATTTAGTAAGCTATATAGAATATGTATGTATATAGTATATGTATTGGGTTGGAACATAATATCATATCTTTTTTAAGATTTTTCAACACCTGTCTTTTTTTCAGAGAGCCATTTCTTCAACAAGCAAAACTGGAAAATGTCAAAGATCTCTGGTTTACTGGTGATATGCTATCGGAAGATCTTTCTCTTCTGCTGAACTCAGACATTTCTTCGCTATGCTTAAATAGTGATAGCTTACGGCAATCTTGCGTGACCATTGTTCGAGAATACATTAAGGTACTTTACTTTTTCCTGTTGATGGAATATCAATTTCCCAGAGGCCAATTGTCTCATCGTTGAATTTACAGCGATTTCTCGACGGTAAAACAGCACAGAAGAGTTGTCGAATAAGTGCGAGTGGAGGTCTTTTACGATATTTGTTCGAGGCAAGTTTTGATTCCATTCCATTTTTACTTAGTATTTTCTAACTAGATCAGCCATACGAGAAATAATTGAGTACGATCGCGCATTCAACGTGGGTCAGCTCGTTTTAAGTTGTGCCACGCATCCTAGTTTTATCCAGATTCGTTGTGGTGTTTTGCAAGCGATTTGACTCTTACACTGGCTTGCGGAGCTAGCCGTCAATCATAGTACGGGCAAAGTACAAGTTTGTGTCCTTATCCTCCCAAACAACTCTGGTACAACTAATATACCACATAGAGAAGGAAGGCTTGGTTTGTCTGGACGGCGTGGATTTCATCGTCGGGCCGTGCGCATGGTGAGCAGCGCCACTCTCTGCAGCAATCTGCCACATGGCAGAAGGATATGCGTGCGAGGTGGTCACCTTCCAGAGAAACAGCGGCTATCCTTTTCTAACGCAGCGATATGCTTTCCATTCCAGGCTTGGAAAAATCAGTACAGCTAATTTCAATTGCTTCCGGCTGAATCCGGGGCACACACAGCACACTTCAGGCATTTGGTACAGAGGTGAACGCCACAAAACATCGCCTGGGTGCTTCCTACTCGATGTCTCTCCCACTTTGCCATCGTTCCCTTCTGGCCCTTTCGTGGAGCTATCCTTATGGATAGGAATATTTCTGTCTGATCCAGTCAACTGGTGTCAGACTCAAAAACGAGTATAAAATTGTTGGCTCTACCGTGGTCACTGCAACCCTTGACCTAGTACGCATTCAAACACCTCTATGATCTCAAGTAAATGTCGCGTGCATGGCGTACCCTATTGTCGGAAGTACTGGACCCATTAATTTAATTTTTCACAGATTATCGTTTAAATTTCGTTCAATTTCTGCAGGTGCGTATAGAATATAGGATTGCGTACGAGACCAACGAAATTTATCATACCTCATCTATTGTACTGGTTTTTCAGGGAATTGGCGGTCGAGGTGAAACACGTCTCGAGAATGGGTCGCGGAAAGTCTATTTATATGACGGATTGGAAGAAACACCAATACATTGCTTTATTGACGCCATAGATGATTGTACATAATTGTATATAATAAGTACCCTGCTTGTACCCTAGTACTCCTGTACCCTGCTATTAGCTATCTTGTTAATAAGTAAATATAATAAAAAATAATAAAACTAAGTGCAATGTTTCACAAGAATGCTGGGTTGTGAACAAAACTTTCGCCCCAGGCGGGACTAGAACCCGCACCTCTCGCTTTCCGGGCAAGTGCGCTACCAGTTACGCTACCGGGGCACCATTTCATTCAGCTTTTCATGGTATAATGAAGTTTTGTTTTGGCCAAGCAAAGTTTTTTGACTTGTTTGTTTGTTAACTGCTGTTTTTGGCCGCAGTTCGCCTTGCGAATGTTTCACAAGAATGCTGGGTTGTGAACAAAACTTTCGCCTCCAGGCGTGACTAGAACCCGCATCCTCTCGCTTTCCGGGCAAGTGCTAAATGCAATTGGTATCAAAAGCTTCTTCCGCATCGGCAGTCGTT